GTCGATTTTTATCTTTGGGGACACGCGAAATCTCAAGTTTATGCAACCCCTGTTGATACAGAAGATCAACTTAGACTGCGAATTGTAGAAACCTTTAATTTAATAAGAAATAGTCTATTCATATTCCAAAGAGTCAGATTTAACTTTATAAAGAGACTGACAGCATGTATCGATGCAGAAGGAGGTCAATTTCAACATTTATTATAATAACATATTTTGTTTTAGTTCTGTTTTGGTTACTTAATTAAAAAAATTATTTTGGAAATTGATTGTATTCTTAAAAATTCACTAGGCTTAAGAAATGTATGTAAATAATTCGGAAGCACTCATCTCTCTGCATTTTGTAAATTTACTAGAAAACTAAACATTTTACATAAAAAACACAAGAGACAAAAAAATTTCTAAATTTAATGGTCTTTCTAAAAATCTTATGATACTTGCTGTACCTTTGCAGAAAAATTTTTTTTAGCAAAAAATAGGATACAGGGTGATAAAAAAACACCCTTCTGCTTTCTCGATTTTATTCATATCCGCATTATTTATTGATTTCCTAAAGCTGATTAGCCCCTGAAAATTTCATTAAGTTTTCTTTTTCCAACAAAGAGTTACGTCATAAAAACTACTTTTATAGTTGCACCTTTGAAGGTCTGTAACTTCAAAATGGTGCGTTTAAGAGGTTATGTTTATTAGAGTTTTTAGTCATATTTTTTTATGTACTATCACCACCCAAAGTTTGTAACATACTTTACGGGACACCCTGTATATTTTAGAAGGCTATATCTCAGTAGGCATGCACTTTTGTATAAGTATAGATAAGTTAGGCTAAATAGTCTTACCTATTTTCATCCAAGGAATCTGTGGTCAAGCATTGTCCATCCTTTTCAGGGACACCCTGTATAAAAAATACATACTTACCTTGCTTCAATTAAGTTGTGCGTTAAAGTGAGTACCTACAATAATTAGGTCTTATAGGTTTTATAACAAACATTGTTATTCGAAAAATTTTATTAGTTATTGATGGCCTAACAATTGTTTCAGTAAACGGTGTAATATAAAATCTATTTCATTGGAAGTACTTACACTTTTTGATAATTAGGTACCTACTGCACTTGAAATATAGTCAATTTGTTATTTAAATACTGTTGTGTAATTTAATAATATAGGTATAAATAAGACAGTTTGTTTTCGTTATGAAATAATTATTTAAATTGTGATAAATATGTTATAAATAATAATGTTTTAATTTTTATGAGCATACAAACAAGTTCTTTTTAACTATTTTAACCGGCAACAAAAAGATATTTTTGTTGCCGGTGAAACATTTTTCAGAGTAGTGGAGTTTTAGTAGGGGTAGGATTAAAGGAACTGGTTTATCTGTCCAAAATGCATTTTTAAAATCCAGTTACTTTAATCTAAATATTTATTGACTGACCTAAAGTTTGACTGAAATAAGTTATGGTTGAATTTTTACATATGAAAGTAGCTTTACTTGTACATGGGATTTTTAAATCAAAAACTTTATTAAGTAGGTACATACCTACCTAATAAAAAATGAGGAGAAACTATGATAATTATACAGGGTGTCCGGAAATGATGAGCAAAAAATTCAGGGGATAATTCTAGACCGAAAATAAATCCCACCTCTTTCTATAACATTTTTTCCAAAACTGATTATTAACGGAGTTACAGGGTGTTAAAGTTAAATTTTATTTGCAGTTTTTTTGCAATACCTTTTGCCACGCACTTATAATATTTTGACGAAATTTCGTATATGGGGGTTTTTCGGGATGAGGATTATAAAATTGCCCACCGTTTTTTCGCATTTTGTAGAGGGCGCCACATACGAGCTTTTATTTTGATTTGAATGGTTCCAACTTTTTTGTGTTACACTTTATGCAAAATTTGACTGAATATATTTGTTCTCCTAACCTTTTGACATAAAAAAGTATACTTTATTTGTTTCGATAAATCTAACCGTTTTCGAGAAAAACGCTAAAATACCATTGCTAAACATTTATTGCTAAAACGTAGTTCCATCAGTGGAACATACATACCGAATTTCAAAATTTTAGGTTAAACCGTTTTTTGAAAAAAAAAAAAAATGAAAACTGAATTTTTGGTTCACCCCAAAAACGCGAATATCTTTGCAGGGAGGGCTCAAATGGAAAAAAATATAGAAAAGACATCCCCTAAAATAGGCCATACCCCCTTTCAATATTTACGTGGAATTACGGGACACCCTGTATAAACAAAATAAGTACTTACCTGCTATAATCACTGTCTTTGTATAGAACCTATGTTTCAGCAATAGCTAACTTTCTTTTTTAAATTAATAACTCATATATTTGATTTGGAACAAGGCAGAAAATAATATCCCGAATATACGCGGGCACCATTAAAAAATTACTGAACAATCAACTTAAAAGAAAAGGAAATAACTGAAAGATCCACTTTTGAATGCAATATACTCGTAATTATGACAATAAAAACAATAAAATCGCCAGGAGCGTAAATCAACAATTCATCTTTGGCTAGAGTTTTGAAACAAGGTGTTATAGTCTCTCCGAAGTTAGTTGAACATGTATAAAAAAAATCAAGCAATCAAATTTAATGAGTTTCATAGGCGTCTCTAAAAAAGTTTTCTGCTAAAGGTAAAAAATTATAATAATTTGTATATAATGTGTAGAAAATTTCTATTATATGTTCATTTTCCCAACAACATATTTTAATTATTTATGTCCTCAAACAATTTTATTATATTGATGGTAAATTTCGTTTTGTTCTGTTTCAAAAGGTCTCCAAAATGTTATGTTGTAATAATAGTAGTGATGTAAAATAGCATGCTATTTAGTTTTGGGTGATATATATCAAAATATATATCATTATATATATCAGATGAATTTTGTTAAAAAAAAACTATATTCAAATTAGTTTTTTTATATTGCTAATGCCTTGCTGATTAATTTGACACCAAATACATGTCATATATATGAACTTTAAGAAAAGTTATCAAGTGATCTTTTTTTTTTTTCATATTTAGATTGGAATTTTATATTTTTTTTATCATACTGACTTCTAATTTTTGTTGCGTGCTACTGACTGTTTATAAGCAAGTACGCTGTTTATTAGCAATTTAGTTTTATCAACCCAGAAATAAAAAATGGGAAATTTCTAGAACAAGAAAATTTAGTCTTTGTATATCACAATACGTACTTAAAAAAAATTAAAGATAAAAATTGAAATAAAAATTATCAAAAACTTATGATAATAAAGAAACTGCTTTAAAGTAGTACTTAAAAATCTGAAAATTTAGGGGTGTACTATAAATGGGGAGACCTAAGAGCGCACGTAATTTCAACTCACCCCTTCCACCCTAGGGGGTGGGGTGAAGGTTTTTTTTAGACGTACCCTATTTATTTTGCGATTTTCGGATTGTACGCGTAAAACTACCCCCAGAAACGCGTTCTTGGGGGTACGTCTAAAAGACCACCCCTCACCCCCTCTGCACCTACTAAGGTGGAAAGGGCCAGTTGAAATCAGGTTCGCTCTTAGGTCTCCCCACTTATAGTACACCCCTAAAATTTCAGATTTCTATATTTATTTTTGAAGGAGAAAAATGCTCATCGAAAAAACGACAAAATCCATACGAGGGTGGTGGTTTGGTTTTTGTGCGAATTCGGCAAGAACGCGCTTTCGGGGGTAGTTTTACGCATAGAATCCGAAACTCGCAAAATGAGTAGGGTACATCTAAAAAAACCACCCGTCACCCCCTAGGGTGGAAGGGGTGACTTGAAATTACGTGCGCTCTTAGTTCTTCCCATCTATAGTACACCCCTAAAATTTCAGATTTTTATATTCATTTTTGACGGAGATATTCCAGGTACCCAAGAGCTACTACAGTCCAAATCAAGCCTACCACACCACAAGTTTTTAGTTATAAAATGTAAGGTTATGTTTGAAATTTGGCTTTATTCATGAAATGGCGGGAAAATTGATATATATCAGCTATTAACATAAATATAATAGCTGATATGTATCAAAAATTGATATATATCAATTTGTTATATATTTTCACTCACATCACTAAATAATAGTAATAATATTATTCCTCCCTTTCGCAATTGTAATATGAATGATTAATAGAAGGTGCCTATAAAAAATTTAAATTACTTGAATCACTCCAAATTCATCCAAATTTATTGCCCAGTAGCCCAATACAGTTGTATCAGATTTCGTTTGCCCGCGTGAGCATTCTCCAACTGGGCGTATACATTTCTACCACCTCCAAGTGTAGTTCTACCAGATCTGTATATGGGTATGGTTAAATAAATATGGGAACAAGTTTTTCAAATATTTCAATGCCGAGTTGCTGCGTCAGCGACCGAACGTGGTACATACAGTCAATGACTTAGTTCTTCAATTGATATCGGAAAGGCTATACACATAATGACATTTGACAGTCGGGTCAGGTGGTAATCATGTTTTTTGGAACACACTTCGCAAACATTTGTAAGATTTGTTTTCTTCTCTGTTGGTGGCAGAACTTCAGGAAAGTATCTTTTGATCAACTAGGGTGAATTTCCAGGCTGACTGGATATTTGAACTGGAAATGGAAATTAAACTCCACACAAGTTATCTCGGGTTAGTAATCTGAGATCCAAAGGCCAATTCTGAGTTAACTTGGGATATTAAGGGAAAGGGTTAAAATCATTTTAAATTTTCAATAAATAGTATTTAATTTTTTTTTAAGCAGCACTGTGTTTAATTTGTAAATCTCAGTGTCAATGACCACTGAAATTGATCTAGTGTAGGTGAACCACGTAAAATATCATTCCACCTGATATGATGCAACACCTGCTAGGAGGACATAAAACAAAGATAACATTAATTCGAAGAAACAAGATCAGTCGCATATTTTATTTAAACATTTTTATATAAAGTTTCTGTTTTGAAATTCATTTAGGAATGATTAGAATAATAAAGGAATATAAAAACGAGGATTCTAACTAAATTTAATATGTATTTTTAAAATCTGGTTATTCTAAATAGTAACAGTCATCTATTAGGATTAATAGGATAAAAATACAGTTAATAAGTTAGTAAATCCTACGATATAGCTGTGAAGCGCGTAAAAGCCTTTACGCTAAAATTTAAAAACATTTCACGACAGAAGTCAAACAAAAAATAAACTGAACAAGATCCCTTAAAGTAGTGACTTAACGACTTAAGTACTAATAACACCGTGTCTAATTAATCATATAAATATTATTTCACAATAATCGTAATTAGTTATTAAAAATTGTAAAAAATTCGCAAATATATTCACAAACATGCGCTATTCAAGATAAGACACTCTGTTTTAAATGCGTAGGCACGTTATTTGTCTACTAGTAATGTTTTCATTAATTTCAGATCGCTATGACCTAAATTTATGGCAGTATACAACCCTACTATGACTATACAGTTCAGATCTACATAATCGAATACTTTTTCAACACTTTCCAGCGTAGGTTGGGTTTTTAAATGTGGAAGTGGCTTGCTTGTATATTGGATTTTCCCCCTGAAAATAGATATAATTTATTACTAACTTTTCATATCGCGAAAAGTTAAAATCAAGTGATGCAGAACTGGATCCAAAAACCGAAATAAAAGTAAAATGTACTCACAGTATCCCACTTTGCCATCATTTTCTCCTTTTCGAACCTTGCAAACTCCCTCCGATCGTGAATGGTCGTAAGCAGCTTCCAAAGCAGCAACACTGCCATACCAATTAGAACAACAGCCGCTACCACGCCAAGAACTATGCCTGGTACATATACCTAAAAAAATATCACAAAATAAATTGTAGCTTATGAAACCAGTTAAAAAAGATATTTACATTGGCCATCAGGTTGTCCAAGCCTGACTTTGACAAAGTATAACAAGAATAACTAATTTTCTAGACATTACCTTTGAAGGGCACTCTCTTTCCTGTTGCGCTCTCACTTGAATCTTATTGTCGGCATCAAAATAATAGACGTAGGTGAATCTACATTCATCCTCATCATAGTAGGCACATAGTATCTCGTTGTTGTCTTCGTCAGCTGTAAAATCAAGCAAAAATATAAACAAAAAGAACTATTAAAGTTACTATTTTTTTTATTTTTACCAACAACTTCCTCTACAGCTATTGGCACAAATTTTGTACAGTTCAAGAGGCAATCGGAGTCTTTTAATTTTCCAGTCTTGTACAACTGGCACTGAACGCAGTCTTTGAACTCTTCACATCTATCGGAACATGTCTGTGAAAATACGTATTGGTTAACTGTAAACAAAATGCCAGAAAATACAGATTTGTAGAAAGAGTTTTTGTGTAACTACACGATATAATTTTTTTATAATGTCCACTAATAGAGCAACTAAAAGTATATAATAATTATAGTATTTTACACAGATATTTTATTATAAAATGGTACTAAACTTACAATTAGTACTTGCAAATGTTTTTCTTTTTTATTAGCAGTTGTAAACAAAATAAACAATATGAACACACAATTTTTATACTCTTCTCAAGGTTCAAGTTCTCTGGAAAAATAAATTTTTAGGCAATAAAAAATAAAATGCAAATGAATTTAAATCAGGTGATAACATTGGTGAAATTTTTCTTTTAACCTGATAGAAAGATCAACAAAGTAATCAAAATTTTTCAAATAACATTGAAAATTTTGAAAATAAGGAGAAGCCATCTGAAATAAATCGAATATTCCTGCAAAACATCTTAATACAATATTCAATTCTTATACCAATAGCTCAAAACACAAAAAAAAATTAGTAATATGTTGCAGTCATGTTAATTGTGTTTGACGTAATGTCTCATAAAAGTAGAGGTGACAATTTAGGGTAGCCCAAAAAAAAACGAATATTTTTCGTCTCTTGTGAAAATATGTTAGTTTATCATGTTTTAATAGCCCCCTCAAAAAATCAGCTAAAAAAAATTTTTTTTAGAAGTTGCTCAAAATTTTTAAAAATTCTTAAAACATGATAAACTAACAAATTTTCACAAGAGACAAAAAAAAATCGGTTTTTTTGGGCCACCCTAGGTGTGACATGACGGGTTTTAAACAGTAAATCACATATAAGGGAAGAGCTACCAAAATGCTGCCCTAGCATATCGATTATATGACAAATGTTTTCTTTTGTGATTTCATTTTTGAAATTCATGTAGGAATTAGAGAAAAACAAAAGAAAGGTCTAACTAGATTTAATATGTATTTTTAAACTAGTAGATTTGTAGCTTTATGAATTCGAGAAACAAGATACCTACAGAAAAATCACAGTAGACATGCTGGAAGACCTAAGCCAGTTAGATAGATGCAAATTCCCCCAAAGTTATTGTAGCAATGGATGGGTCAACTTTTATTCACAAGATAATAAATAATTTCCAAAATAGGCAAGTTATATGCCAATCAAATTTCCAAAAGAACTTTTCTCTAAATGTTTAGTGCTGCTATTGTTAATCATATACTTATTAGCCCTTTTATATTACCAGAACGAACGACTAACTTAGACTAACATTTTTCACAAAATAACTTAAGTGAATTACTCAATTAATTTTTTCAAAACGGTACTCCACCTCATTTGAAACATAAAATGTGGGAATATATAGGTAATGAATCTCCCAGAAGATGGCTAAGCTTAATCCGTGACATTTTTGCCCATGGGATTATATTTTGTTGTATAAGACTAAAGTAAATACTTTATTTTGGATTTGGATACACCGTGGCTTGTGTGAATTAAAGTAATGGTGATAAAGTTGAACAACTTATCTAAATTTAAAGGTAATTTTTTTATTTTCCTAATTTTTGACTTAGAAGTTTAGCAAATAATTACAGGGTGATGGAGAAAAGCCGATAATTATAAGGATCAAATTTTAAAACAGTACAGAGTTAAAATTAAATTATTAGTAAAATTTAACTTTTAAATCTGACGAGAAAGAAAAAAAAATTGAAGGAATTTGATTAATCCTAAATATATAACTCCGAAAAAATAATTGCAAGACAATGTGGGAAAATTTTAAATAATCAAAACGATCAAATTTTATTGAAATAAACATAACAGTATAAAGATAAAAATTCAATTAATTAGTAAAATCTAATCAATCCACTAAGTTAAAAACCTGTTTTAAATCTACCAAAACTACATTGCACGAATTCTAAGAAAAAGAATTACTTTACTATAGCTGTTTGATAAATCTTAACAGTTATTAAAAAATATATATTATGTAATTTTGGAATTATTAAACGTAAATATAAAAACAAAATTGGGTAGAACAACTTAAAACTAAAATAAATAAATAAATAAAGAATAAATTCTAATTACAAATTAACAAATTATATAAAAACAATCATACTTATTTACAAATAAGGTATAATACCACTGTATAATTTTAAAAAAATCTATTTTTTCCATTGACTTAAGATGCTTTGAACTTTCTAGAATAAGGGGAAAAAGTTTTACGCCTGTAAAAAATTTTTTACTTTGAAATTCTCTTTCACAAACGTGTCGGATTGCTATAAAGCGACTACTTGTGGAAGAGTACAGCCTAATGACTTACCTCTTAAATAAATATTATTAGAAGGAGTTTGTGTTCAATTAGAAGCATTTTCAAATAAAAGTACGTTAGTACAGAGTACATCTCAAAACTTTAAAGGCATTTTTCCCGAAATACGATTTTTTAAAATGGCACTCGGTATAATTCAAACAATTTTCGTTTTAGTCACTCCAAAGTTTGTCCATATCTTTAATATATGATTCTGAAGAGAAGTATGCACGGGATTTTCTATTTTAACATTACCTTTGACAAATGATTGCTCCTTTTTTGTCAAAAATTTAACTTTTTACTTCAAATGCTTATTAATCACACAAAAATCAATATTTTCAAAATCCCCTACATATTTCTCTAACCATACTCGTGTAGATTAAGAGAAAATTTTTTGTTTTTTTTTTCATTCAAATTTGCGTCAGTTACACTGCGTGCCCAAGAACGACTCAAATTCAACATGCCTTGTGAGAAAAGTTCCAGTATCGCCATTTTGTACTATTTATAAATAATATATATTTTTTTGAACACTTAAAGACTTGGTTTATAATATTCTTGAATATTATTATCTTATTATCCTTCCATTAAAAAAAACACTTTATTTTAGAATTTTACAGTGGTGTTACCCCTTAATACAGCATGATTCACAACTTATCCAAAAAAATTTGGGAATAGATGCAGCATCAGAAATGAAGTCAATACCTATCGTAAACATTTTTTGTAAAATCCTTATAATTTTATTTAATTTTTTTTATTTTATATTTCAAACCACAAATTAATTTAATACTAATACTAGCAGCAAAAGCAGTTGAATTTGCTGATATGAAATAGGTGCTATCAAATTCTATTTATTTCCTCCATTGCGAAATTCTTTCAATTTTTGATCCGTTCATGCTGCATGCTTTGCCTTGTGCAAGGTCAGGTTTTACAGTGGACCAGTTTCCAGTGTCGCGCAGAAGTATATTTTTAAATCCATTTTGAGCTGCCCTTTTTGATTTTTTCTTCACAAAATTGTATTTGTAAGTCCTCTAGATCCAATTTTTTTTTTTTGGATAAGTTCTGAATCTCGCTGTATATTAATTTTAGTACTCATATATGTCTGCACACACAATCTAATTTTCCAGATTACTTGACAAATCCATAACCATGAAAACAAAAAACATTTTTTGTAGGTATATCATAATTTATCTCGTTCCAATAAACTTTACAAAATATAGATTGCATATTAAAATTTGACTTTAACCTTAAAAAATGCATATTTTAATGATAACCTTTTCCTGAATACGTAGGATTTTTGTACGTCGATGTGGCTTGCTTGTAAATCGGATTCTCTCCCTAAAAAAATTAACCATTAGAAATGACTTTTAGTTTAGGTGAGATATAACCTATAAAGTATATGTCACATCTTGAACTCATTGCCTGTAAGCAACATTACTGGCAATGACTTGTTTTGACACTAGACAAAATAAACTTTTTTTAACCATGCTCTGCGAACTACATGTTCCATCCGAGATTGAAATACACCTCCAAATATCACGTAAACAGCTAAGATGACCGTCACTAGCATCACCAGACATAAATTGGTTTCGAATTTATTATTTCTCATCAGTATGCCACAGATAAAATAAGTAAAGACCAATTTAATTATTTGGATGTCCATATACCTACCAACTTCTACTACCGATAGTGTGGGTGTGATATAACTTTCAAAATATGTTTCATATCTTAATCATTTATACTCAATGCGTACTAGCCTAAAACATTAATTTGTGCCCATTGTACGCATGATATAGAGAGTGTCTCACGGTGACGGCCCATTAGAATTATTTAAGAGGCAACTTCCATTTGAATTTTGAAAACTTGTGATACCGGGTTTTCGGGCATGCCCTTCTCCACTGAAATAATGGCGTCCACATAACAGTTCCAGTTATACCAGAAGTCCCCATCAACTTGCTTATTTTAAATGGAACATCCTATATATTATTGCAATTTTGGATTCTACGTGTTATTTTAGGTGGACTTTTATGAAGTTTGCCTATTCCTAAAATTAACCGTTTTCCAGATATTTAATTTTTTTTTTAATGGAGAGAAACAGTGACTAGCTTCAAACCATGTGTATTTTATAGTAAGAAAGATAAAGCAACAATATTTATAGAGGGGCTAGCTATACCCCTAAGCTTCCCATAGATACTTAATTGCATACAGGGTGCTAGAAATTTAATGCCGAGTTTAGTTAACCAAACCTTCATAAGTCGGTTTTTTTAAATGGAACACCTACATTCTATATTCTGATACATAATTTTATTCTCTTTCGAATGGTATCAGAGTTCCCTATACCTATCTCTTCTAGTTTTTAAGTTATCTACTATTTTTTGTGTAATCACCTAAAATCATGTAATTTCTTACGAGAATAGCTGTGGAATTTTTAGCAAAACTTCAAAACAAACAACTAAACTGTCAATTTGTTGTTAGTCTCTTGCAGTGACAGTTTAATTTAGTGTTTGTAAGAAATGGAAAACAATACATATTTAAATGTTGATATTTTAAATTTATTATTCATTCACGGACGTTGCAATGGGATTATAAGCAGTAGAACATGTACAATTATTAATGAGACATATCCTTTGCCACCAATGAGCAGAAAAAAGTTAAGAATTTTAGCAAATCAACTAGAGTATGGTCGAATTTGTGCAGAAAGAATTTTACCAAAACCAATAACTTCAAATGAAGAGCTAGCCTATTTTAATGTTCATCCAGAATCCTTAATTCGTGCCACAGAGTATGATTTAGACATTTCACGAGCATCCATTCACAAGATGCTAAAAGCTAATGGTATGCATCCATACAAATTTAAGCTACTTTTTGCTATTCATCCGGGTGATGCCGTGCAACGTGTTCAATTTTGTGAAACGATGTTATTGCGATACTAAGATCCATAATTTTTGCAACATATTATATGGACAGACGAGTCAAAAGGACCCCGCACAAAATGAATGGAAATTGGGTCCCGCTAGATTTGGCTTGAATTGTGATATGATATAGTTCTCGACATTGTGATGAAAAGTTGTCACATGCCCAAAGTGATCCTATGGATAGTTTCAGAGATAAAAGGGGGAAGTGTGTGATTTTGGCTGTAGGACTGAGTAAGCTTCACAAAGATTCCAGTTGATGAATTCAAAAACTGAGGCATGTAATGAATATTGACTAGTATATACAATGCTTTTGGGATCGCTGAACCTGAATTCTTTGATAGCTTAGCTACCTAAGGTCACCTGGAGGTCAAGTAAAGGTCGTTTCAAGGTCAAACTGAAGAAAAGACTTGTATTGAATTTTGACCAGTGATTGTATAGGTTTTTGGGCTCGCAGAATCTGAATGTGGAGATAGCGTAACCCTAAAGGTCACCTTCAAGTCAATTCAAGGTCATTTCAAGATGAAACTAAAGAAAAGACTTGTGATTGAATTTCAACCAGCTGAAATATAAGTTTTTTTTGGGGGGTTCTGAATTTGGGGGTAGCTTAGCCCTACAAGGTCATATTTAGGTCAAGTCAAGATCATTTCAAGGTCAAAGTAAAGACAAGGTCTTTCTCGAATGTTAACCTGTAAGTATGTATGCTTTTGAGGTCGCTGAACCTGAATTTGCAGATAGTTTAGTAGATATTGAGAGCGTAATTCAATGCTGGATGGAGCATATACAAAATTATCTTTTTCTACAAACGTCAAAAAATGACATGGTTTGCGCATTGACAACAATATGCGAAGTGACACTTTTTTTCGGATTCTTACGTTACCATGACACCGTGCGCGAAATACTTCGCGCACTAGGGTGCGAAATATTTCGCACACTGCATGTAAATTAATAAGAGTTTTGTATTTCAATCTTTGAAAAAATGAAGCAAAACTCCAAATTATTATTTATTTTTAAATGAATAACAATTAAATACTTTTAAAATAATGATAGAATTTTACAATAACTTTAGTTATTACTTACGATATTAACATTAATCGTACAACCAGTGCACGAACCAATATTTATTCCTAAACCAGATAATTGCTTTATTTGTTTCACACCACTCCTTAAATTGCCGGTATGCATTTTCATATTGGCGCTTCGATTTTTCCGGTAAAAGATTTGAAGTTACCAAATTGGCCGCATCTGCCAAATTAGGTGGGGTACTACTTAGTTCATCGTCACTAGCAATTTCCATTATTTTAAATAATATCTGGCACTTAAAAATTGAAGACGCGAGCGCAAACGGCACTTTAAAATAATTATTATTGTTGTCAACAACAGCCACTTTGTTTCCATAGTAACAGTGAAAATTTGATTAGGAAAGACATTTTAAGCCAGCTCAACACTATTTTCTATAATAAATTAGGCATTTTACTTATTTATAATATTTTTAAGAGATAGATTTTGACGTTTGTAGAAAAAATATTGTTTGCATCTCGTGCGCGAACTACTTTGGTGGTCTCGAATAATTTTTTAACTCGGCTTCGCCTCGTTAAAAAATTCAATTATCGATCACCAAAGTAGCATTTCGCGCACTAGATACAAAAATAACTATTATTCAACACAATTGAACAAAAACTGTTTTTCATATACTTATTCAATTTAAAAAATTCATAAATACTCACAGTATCCCACTTGGCCATCATCTTCTCCTTTTCAAACCTAGCAAATTCCCTCTTATCGTGTATGGTAGTGACAACCTTCCAAACAAGCAACATCGCCATACCAATAAGAACTACAGCCGCTATGACACCCAATATAATAATGGGTAATTGAAACTAAAAACAACACCTTAAAAAAAACTGAAAAGAAAATAAACAGTAAAATTACAGTTTCAGGACACTTCCTTTTTTCCTGCGCCCTAATTTGCAACTTATTATCGTCATCATAATAATAAACGTAAGCGTAATGACAGTCTTTTTCGTCTATATAGGCACATCGTATCTCACCATTTTCTTCATCGGCTAGAAAACGTTAATTGTTACAAACCATACTCAGTTGAATAAAAATATATTTACCAATCGCCTCTTCCTTGGGAATGGGAGTGAACGCCGTGCAGTTTGCAGCACAATCGGCCTCGTTTAGTGGGCCAGTTTTGTACTGCTGGCATTGCACGCAGTCCCTAAACTCCTCGCATCTATCCTTGCAGTTCTAAGAGGTGGAATATATAAAAGTTGAATTTTGAAAGCTTCGAAGAATATTAGTGCCGAATTAGTTGAAAATCGTACAAAGTATTTTCATAAAAATACTGTTTATTCGCTCGTAACGAGCGGTTGTGAAAAAACCACCGGATTAGTAGACACTTCCACTAAGCAACTGGTTATGTATCTTTAAACTCTCTGGAAGTATCGCACACACCAAAACCGCAATTGGATTATGGATTACGCTCATGACAATCAAGAATTTTATTGAAAGTTAGTGTTTAAATTCTCGAAAAGCTTTGAGTAATTATAAGTAGGTAATATTTAGCACTGAATAAATCAAATCACTGCAAAAAACTTGTTATCGAATCTCTGGTAGTGAATTAAGAGCGTTGCACAAAAACCCTTTTTAGTAAAAATAAAAATCTCGCAGCAGACTTACGGGACATTTCTCACAAAACTTTCCAGTGTACCTTCCCTCTTTGACATAGTCACAAACACATTGGCCGCATTCGCACGTACCATGGCCAGAACACGTTACGTTACTATCTGTACCTGGAGGGTAGCAGTTGGCTTTGGATTTTCGGCAGGCACAGTTGGAACCTGTCCATTCGTCAGTGCAGTGGCATTCGCCACATTCGCAAGTACCGTGGTCGCTGCAGAGCTTGCCATCATGTCGTTCACAAGAGAAATTGTCACACTCGCAGTAGGGACCATAAATGCTCTAGAAAACGATTTTTTTTTTGGTACATTTACACAGTTTTTGAAATATTAAGGAAATTCTTCCGATTTAAATTGATTTAAAAGAAACTGTTTTGGAAACTTTTTTTACATATTACCAATTTTTATGCCTTCAACAAAATACAGGATGTTAATGAACATATGTCAAAAACTGAAAGGGGTGAAGAAGAAGCAAAAACTGAGTTAACTGATGTCACAAACTTGTATCGAAAGTTTAAGGTCATAGAGAAAAAAGCTAATTAAAAATGTGTTTAAAATTGCTTTGGAACTGCTGAAATACATGTATTTTATCGTGGTGAGTACGTACAAAAAATTCTGTTAACACTTTTTACGAGTTTGTAGGTTTTTTATGAAGCCGGACTGTATTCGAAAGTTAGTTTGTAATACACTGTTGTAGTGATTGCTGTGCTGTTTTTTCAAGAGTACATTTAACAGCCGTATTCCAAGCTTTCTTTTGAAAATGGCGCATTTATTTAGCAATCACGAATATTATGCTATGCTCACAATTTATGGCTAAGCAAAGAGTTTTGGATACCGGTGAAGTACAACCGCGTCGAAGTCGCGACGGGGGCGCAGGGCGAACACTGGGAATCGTATATGTTGAGGAGATGATTTTAGATCTCGTCGAAGAAGATCCACATCATAGCACCAGAAATATCGCACAGCAAGTAAATATTTTGCATCCTGTTGTGTGGCGGACATTACGAGAAGCTCAGTTGTACTCATTTCATATTCAACGTGTTCAAGCGCTTACTCCTGAGGTTTTTCTACTATGTTGAGGTTTCTGCGAATGGTTGCTTCAGGAACATGCAAGAAATCCTCAGTTTACAGCACAAATACTTGTTACAGATGAAGCATGTTTCAGTCAAAATAGTGTATGTAACATCCACAAAACTCACCATTTGGACTATTAAAATCCACACGAAATATGTCGCGGTGTCTTTCAGCAACAATTTTCAGTGAACATGTGGGCCGGTATCGTTAATGACACTTTAGTAGGAACTTTTGAATTGCCTAGACGCGGTGCTTCATATCTACATTTTTTGTAAAATCGCTTGTCGGAATTATTGGAAAACGTGCTTTCTTCGGAGAGTGCGTGACTTTCTAAACATTACTCTTTCCGATCATTGGATAGCCCACGGACCTCACCCCTTTAGACTTCTTTTTATGGAGATATGTGAAAAGTGTTGTGTATTCCACGGAAGTTCATGACATCGACCAACTGCGAGCCCAAGCTTGTAATACGATTCGAGAAGACGAGGCAATGCTGCAACACGTGCGAGCGAATTGGATAAGTTGCACTGAAGCTTGTGTGCAAACAAATGGTAGGTACATCGAACATCTTCTATTCTATGAAAATCAGATGGCACCTTGCAATGTTGAGGTAATTCAGATTTTAAAATTACATTTTACTCAACACAAATTCATGTATTACCTCTTTTTGACTTAACGGACATATGGCAAAAATATTTCACATAAGTTCATTAACACCCTGTATTTAAATCTCTAAGATGTCTGATTAGTTAAAATATTATAATTTGAATTATCATTTGCGGTGAATCCAGTGACCAACAAATTTAATTCAGAAAGAGATCTCTCTAAGAATCACCTACCTCATTGTCGTTGCTGCGTGTTTCGCAATCGCAACGGCCACAAATACACTGCCCCTTGCCGGAACACGAGGTGCCATTGGGATTTTTGGGATCAATACAGTCCATCTTGGTGATATCACGGCTGATTTCCTCAGAGGTGCATTCACACCTCCGACCAAAAGCACCAGGTAAACATTCGCAGATGCCACATTTGTATGTACCAAAATGGGAACAAAGGGGAGAATTTTCCTCATAAAACTAAAAATAAATAATTAGAAATAAAAAAATATTCATTTGAAAACTAATATACCTCATGTCCTGGTTTTTCACAGTCACATTCACACAACATCTCCAAGTCGATAATTAAACTTTCATCTATACCGACTGGGTAAATTCTGATTGTTTGAAAATGGTCAGCGCGGTTTTTGGGACACTTGAGTACTTCAATGACAATTTTGAAATGGACGAGATCTCCAACCTAAAAAAACACAATTCAGATACTAAAACTAAATGATAAATCGTTTTCGTACCTTTATATTCTCGCACTTGTTAGTATTCACCAAAGCACCAGTGGTGTTCAAACACCGACTGTGGAATTTAAGGCTGACTGCACTTGATGCATTGTGTTTCATTTCGACGGTCGAAGTGATCTGTTGATACTGCTCCTTTATGAGTTGTACGATATTGGAACTGTCACCTTCCAGTTTACCAACGGAGGCCCCTTCTATGTTCTTAGCAAGCTGTTCATAAATACTAATAGTGCTTTTGGTAACAGCAAAGATTACGTTGATATAATTCTTCTTTACACTGAGATTTATCTGTTCGATGGAAGGATAGTCTTGATAAGATGACTGAGTGTAGAAGCCCTCGTGTGATAAGTGACAGCTGCCATCGTTGGGCTTAACTATACCACCCAGCTAAAATAAAAAGTTGTACATATGAGACAAGAGCTTATAAAATTCATTTTATGTCGCGCTTCTACCTTTCCATCTCCCGCAAAGTGAAAACTAGCGTCTGTAGAAAATACGAGTAGTCTTCTGGCCTTATCTCTCCAACCTATTTGATTCTTACACACGACAGCTTGCATAATAGCATCGAAACCTCCTTCAGGAGCATCTAGATTTCCAGAAACGTTAGCTTGCTTTACCATGTGCTATTGAAATAAAAGTTAGGATCTGTGATACTGCAATGAATAATTTTAAAATGTTTTATCACTATGTCACTTTCTAAGTGTTTGACATCTCAAAGTCGTCAGTATAAAACATTTTAAAAAATCGTTTAGTAAACGACGCCTGATTGATGTTAGTAGAAAATAGGAAAAAAGTGAAATGATCTTTGTTAGAATAATTAGAAGTACTTAAGTGTTATTATATGTACAGACAACGAGTAAAGCTGCAAAGAAATTATAACCAGCAACTAAACATGTTATAACTTGGTTAGAATCTACTCCAATTCTATCCACAAATACATATAAAAAAAATCTAATTATATAAAAACACAGCTCCAAAAAAAGTGGGTTATCTCTGGAACCAGACAAGTGTTTCCTATAATACTTTAAGTCAGAATTACCGAATCAGTTCGTATTTTGAACCTAACATCACTCCTCTGGAAAGCGATTTTTGAGATTTCAAAGTAATTTTCTCAACATCAAAATAAATTAAACTTCCCTTAATTGTAATGTGGAAAAACTAGCTGCACCAAAGCAAAATAAATTTATTATTATTTATTATACTAGGCGTCTATATTTACAGGTGTTACATACAGACCATTAACTTCGTAGTACATTGAAATAAATGTTATATACATTAAAAACAGTTCCCAATAGTCAGATGCAATCGCATTTAATTGGAAAAGATGAATTTTGAACCTTATGTTACATTATATTTATATTTACTTGTAGTAAAAATAAAAGATATATTCACTAGGTACAATGTTTCTCATGGATATGAAAACCATAAAGTAAATATAACTTATTGAGTACCTAAATTGACGACGATGGAGAAGAATCCACATTATACGTGTATCAGATTATACAATAAATTATCATATGATATTGTAAAGATAAAAATATTAAGTAAATTTAAAAAAGTAATAAAAGTTAATTGATTTAGAACCATACTGTTTGGAGGACTATTTTTTTATGCAATGGTTTGGTTTTGTTTGTTTGCTGTTATTTAATTTTTGAAATAAAAGCCTTCCTAACTCTATGTTTTTTAGGCTGATGTATATTTGATACCAGAATTGTGCCATCAAATTATTAATTTTTTCCTAAACTAAAAAAATAAGTCAAAATAGCTAAAATGGTGCTTATTTCTGATGAATACCTACCAGCATCCCAAATCCATCCCAATAATTTTATCCCACTTAACAGATTAACAATTCCCAAATTCAAGAAATAATTCCCTTAATTCAGAAAAATCAAAATTACTAAAAACAAATAAATACTAAGAGCAATTTCAAATGGAGATGTTGACTTGTTATCTTGTAAAAATGTTTGACCTTTTAGGTGTACAGCCGTTATTCTTACGTTTCAAAAATGCTGTTAGCTTGGGGTATTTTGATATATCTCCGTTCTCCTCTATGAAAATAGTTGACTGAATCATTAACTCCACAAACTCGCCGGTGACTTTAAAGTTCTTGACTTCTCCATGAAATATGCTAGCAGTGATATTTCAGAAACACCAGTATTATTGTTCTGGCACCATTCTTTGACATTTCTATATGCTTGTCCATAGCGCACTTTCGACTTCTCGGGCAATAAAAATTCGCAGGCAGCATTTGCTGCACTTTCTATTTGAAAATCACTCTAAATAGAAATAGTAATTCAAAACCAGCAAAATTGCAACTTTCATGCAGCTTTGTTTATAAAGACCTTAAAAACTACAAAATCCAAACAATCAAGGCGACTTTGGAAGATTTCGAATAATATCATAATGAATTGATTAAGAAATGTCAAAAAATAAAACCTAATCTTTATTTCATGAACCATAAAGAATTGTGGGAACAGATAAAATGTTATACACCACGCAGCAGTTAAGTATAATTAACCTCCTAGAAGGTGTAAATAATAACTATTGTCTATACTTTGAATCGTGGTCATATTCATACGGAAGCTATATTTGACCTCTACCAACACGTATGATAAGTTTGTTTTCTCAAATTCCGGTGCGAATACTGAAATATTTTTAACCTTTCTTAAGAAATTTTCATATCCCGCTGCTGCACGAGCTAGTGTGACCGCAAACAACGGACCGTGTTAGTCGCAGCGCATGCACTGTTGGGAGCTACATCATGCATTGTCGTGAAATATCATAATTTAAATGAAAGTTATTGAAAAGCATATTTCCACACCATCCATCCTCTTTGGCACATTACTTTTATTGAATGGGTATTCACCTCGAGCTCCGTCATCCCACATAAACAAAAAATTAATTCTTTTATCCAAGATAAACTATGAAACAGTACCTAACAAGTATTTTAACAGAAAAGTCAAACAGTAATGATAAATGTAATACATGAAAACAATTAAATACTCTGTTGATTTTTACAGCATATGATGTACTTGAGATCTTTTGGCAAATCTTCGAGTACTGATATCAAGATCCTCTTTCTCGGTATTTAAAATTAAAACTGGTAATAAACTTCTCACTCTCTGAGTTTGTTTTCATCCAAAATCAGCGTATTGGCGTTCAAAGCTCCCATAATCTTTTAATGTTGATCCAATATTACAAACATTTTCTTATTCGGTCGAGATCTAACTAATATTGCGTTCTTTCAACGACTTTGTTTTCTCCTGACAAAAAGTAGGCACCAACCAAATCAACTCTTCCCTGATTCGTATACATTCGCTTTTCCACACAAAAATTTGAAAACGAAAACACATGAATACAATGTATCGTCACTAAACACTGAAATAATTAATGTTATAAGTTTACACTTACACAACACACTTCCCGACAAAAATTAACAGAATATAGCAGTGATGATATATTCGTCCATACTCGTTTCACCGAATTAGTATGGCAGTTTGATTTTTACCCATTTGCCATCCTGTCATATGATATCAGGTGTGAAGTCAACTGGGAGTAGCGTCCTTTCAAAGGCAGCATAACGGAAAATCATTTTTTCTCACACATTGTTTTCGTCCAGACAAATAATTTTGGAGTAGTTGTGTCACATTACGCTTGCCTTTGGCAGGTCCACCTTTACGAAAACTATACTGGGAAGATGATAGTAAACAGTATGTTACGATTTTTCTGGGTAGCGGCTTTTTCATCCTGATTTATCGTAAAAAAACTAAAACGCAGTATCCCAAATTGCTGACAGGTCAAAAATCTATTGCAATTTAATTTGTCCTTTTTATGCTGTATTAAGTGTTTCCATACAATATGCCTCGTTTAAAAAGTAATATTTGCAAGGTTCTTATTTTATTTTATATTTATAAAAAAAATTACATAGATAAACATGTTATACAAAATGTTTTGAATAAATATCAGATCCTGAATGTACCGGTTTTTCATGTATCGGTACTTCTTCTGCGGAACCGGTACTTTTTAAATAATACAATATGAGTTTAGATTTCAGCTCTCTCTTTGCTCGTCTGTTAAATGTTTCGAGTGCATGGGACTTGCTGGCCCCCATTTCTTATAAGTTCATGCAATTTTCTGAGGTTAGATCGAAATTCTAACACATAAACCAAAAGTATTGAATGCTTATTAGGTATTAAAATATTTTTTTTTTTCACAATTTCATGCACCACTCAATTCTGTGTACACAAAAATTTAATTACCCTATTTTTTTACATAACAAAGTGGTAATTATTCAAGCGATCAATTCTGGTATTAAATTTATACTCAGCCCTTTAAAACACATACTAGAGAAATGCTATGTTCCAATTTCCATACAATTTGAACATATCAAATGCTTTTACGCAAGTTTTCAAAGTAAGGTGGGAATTCTAACGAAAAGGTTTATGGTTGGTTTATGAAAAAGTATTAGTCCTAACTTAGCCTTAACTTAACCTTAATCTTAGTCTTTAAATGTACAAAATGCAATGTATAGAACTATATATATTATAGGGCAAGGTTAAGATTTTTATAAACCGATACATTACATTCTGTACATTTAACTTTTTAGGACTAAGATTAAGGTTAAGTTACGGCTAAGTTAGGGCTAATACTTTTTTATAAACCAACCATTAGAGAATACACATAGTGGAAATCTTACAGGTATATCAAATCCGTATTCAGCAACTCAAAATACATTGACTAGGGGATACTACCAAACATAAAACTTATTTTTGTGTGCCTGTGTAATAGGAACTGTTATATTCGTATTACTAAAATTGTACTAAAATTTTAAAATGTCTATGAAAATCGGTGATGAAACATTTAAAGGGGTATAGAATAAAGATTCATTATTCAGTTCCAGTGTTTAAAAAATTATCACAATAAAAAAGTCCTTACATGCTTAGGATTTGCAATTCTTGAAAAGTAAAAGTTTCAAAATATGCGGAGTCCAATTAACAAAATATGTTTCCGTTAATGGTCTGTACACATGCAGATATTCTGTACATATACAGTAAAATGATCCATTCATTTTACTAATCTGTTTTGGGAAGATAAATCAATGTCTTTCACATTTTACTATCCACCTTGTACCAGCCAGATAAAACATGGTGATGACAATGAAGGGGAAATCAGTAGAAGTACTTGAAGATAAAAAGTTATTGAAGGAAAAAACATTGATTTGAGCCTCCTTATACCCCTTATGCAGCCCACTTTAGGTTAGAAACAATATATTATGGTTATAAAACAAGAATTTCAATGTTAACAGCACATTCAACAGAAAAAATTATCCTATTTGTTCCGTTTTCGCACATCATATAGTTCTTCCAGGTAAAACCAATGCAATTCTCTATCAATAGAATGTGTAACGATCAATGAGTAGCGATCGTTTAGAGGTGGTAGTGATTATAAGTTATTAACAAATTTGTTACTACAATTCATCGAGGTGCCAATAAGTAAATCGCTGTTAATAAATAGTTCGACAAGCTTTGTTAATTGTTTTTCTCGTTGGACTTACTGAAAATTGAGAAGAATTAGTCGACAACATCATCGCATGTTTGAAGCCGTAAGGTGCTGCACAATCTTTGCACGGATGTAATAAACTATAACCACATAATAGGATGTAACATCGACATGCATCACATCTGTACAATTTGCCACACATATCGTAATACCTTTGCTTTAGGTTGGGTTAGGTAATATTCCCGGTGAGTGGGCTACAAATTAGCCCACCACTGTAATGGTGTGGTCTAGTGTTACGTTTGTTTAAGCATACTTTATTTTTGTCAACCACAGCCTTTCAAATTGTATCCCGATATGTAAAAACAACAAATAATCTCAGATCCCTTTGAACCTTCACTAGCTAGAACCTAGATTTTGTATAATGGTTATGAAGACATACTGGCAAAAATAAAACTAAAGTGTGCAATTTCCTCTATTCACTTTACTATTAGGTTTAGAATTCTACCAAAATTGTAGCAAATATGAGGTTTGATCAAAAAGTAACAGGAATTTTCAAATTGCGTGTGTTGTATCTTGTCTATTGAGTTGATTCTTTTTTTTGTGTAGCACTGTCAGTGATGTCCTGTCAATTTTTACGCAGCAGCGCTTAGTTTGCATTTAACGAGCAAATGACTAAGACTTACCTCAGTGATTTCGACGATTTTTTGTGTGGCGAAATGTCGGATCAGAGAGTTTGTCTCATATTTTGTGTTAAAAACAACAGTTCTTGGTGAAATACAACACTGTTGTACTGCCGCACTATGGTACGAAATGCCTAAAACGTGGCCAAAAATGAAAAAAAAGTTTCTATTTAGAATTTTTTAAGTACTAGACTATGAAATTGAGCGGTGGAAACAGTTTGTCGTTTATACTGTAGCTAGAATTACAAGTCGAAGTAAGTGTATGTCTCGTGGCCGCCTAAGCGAACACAAAAGCACATGGCATGTTCAAAATGCTGTAAAAATGTATTTATCATTCTGATAAAGTTGTACATAAAGTATTTTAACATTATAAATTATTCATAATAAATTATCCATTGTCCACTTATTTTCATTACTGATTATGACAAATAGTGTTTAAATTTATTACAAAAATCAATGAAATGTGAACTTAAAAGTTATATATAAGGCACCATAAGGTTAAATTAGTTATTGACCCGTAATCTATGATCAATTTACTATAATATTATGAAAAAAACATCTGCACTTAGCTGCGCTTTCAATTTTATGATATGATATAGTCGATGCATACTGATTTTATAATTTTGGGAACCTAATTTTGTCAATTATTTTTTAATGATTAATGAAGTAATGAATGATGATGATGAATTATCAAATAACAAATTAATTAATTAATTCCATTTATTTAATATGAATCATAAGATAAGGAAACGTAACTTATTAAAAATAATTTATTTATTAATTAATTAATAGCCTGTGGATTATACATAATTGATTTTCTACTTTGCAAGGAGATTCACAGATGGAAATTAAAGAATTGACTGACGATGCAAGAGGATTATTATGTTTACCTGAATATTGTATTCCAGTTTCTGATGAAGATGACAATTCCTGCGATGACTCGAATGAAAGTGATGAATATTCAACAGAATAACATGATCAAATGAGGAATTTTTAAGAATTGTAATTTGTCTGCTTTAAAATAAATTGAATTTTCGCATAATCAGTGTGGTTAAATACCCCAGTATATCCACATCCGTTAGTTTGTTCCACTTTTGTCAAATTTCATCCGCCATTTAAAATTTTTCAATTTCAATATGGAATTTGTAATCAGTATTGTTAAAAATCCCGGAACACCTATTTTTTGTCAGTTTATTCAACTTTTTTTAAATTTAATCCGCCATATTGGATCCGCCATTTTCAATTTTGGTGTCAAATTCGTAATCAGTTGGGTCAAAAACCCCAGTATACCCAGTTTTGTACAATTTGGAATTAAATTTTTATTTTTGGCCACCTTTTAGGCATTTCGTGCCATAGTGTGCCACAACCATTCTATTCTCCAGACATGACCCCTGAGACTTTTCTTATTTCCCAAACTCAAAAGAAAACTTTTTTCAGCAATAGACGAAGTAAAGGTAAAATCGCAAACCGTGCTCAAGACGATACCTAAAGCGGCATTTCACCAGTGTCTTAAACTAGCTGGAAACTACGTTGGTGAAAGTGTATATCACAAGGGGACTACTTTGAAGGGGATGGGATAAAAGTTGAAAATTAAATAAATACTTTCTGAGGAAATTAACAATTCCCTTTACTTTGTGATCAAATCTCGTATTCGTAACTCAAAACAAAATTTAGTTCATTTCCTCTATCACAAAAACTTTAATTTCTTTTAAATAAAAGTACTACTCTAATCCTCATAACCATCAACCTGGAAAAAATATCAACATTTCAAATACATATAGATAAATAAAAAATAACATACTATTCTGTATACATGCCATCTCACTACACCTAAACCTGTACAAATTATTAATAGTAATCGTACCAGTTCCATCATTCCAGAACAAATCATGCATACCCTCAAAATGCATACAAGATATACAGAGATAGAGAAGTCTATGTAACACCTAAACAGACACTACATACACCATCAAATATTTTCTTTATATATGTATAAAATGCACTATTTTCAAGCTAGCTTCTACGTCACAGCAACTACATCGTGCACTATTCAAACAAAACATGAAACAGTATATAGTTTCATGGAAAAAAAATATTAAATTACATCTTGCAACAAAATAATATTTTCCAACGAAATAGATAAGTACAATCCGTACAATATTTGTTGAGATAGAATTCCTAGAACACTTACGAAGAAACACGCTTTCGTAACTGCAAAACACAGTATGCACTGCAAGCTACCACGGTGAACGCCACGCCGCCAATGTCTTTCTGCCTGGAGTGTATAATGCGGTTAATACCGAGAAAATGAGACAGGGGTCTTTTTGGAATTCTATCTCAACAAATGTCGTAGGGATTGTAGTGATAGTAATATCAAAAACAAAATTAATGGTACAGGGTGACTCAAATTTGATGTGACTTTTAGTCCAATCAATCTGTCACGGACTAATGTTAAATTTACAAAAAATATGGTGATATAGAAGAAAAATTCTAAGAATGATAGTGTATTTTTCCTGTGGCGCATAAACGGCGAAGTTAACCTAAAAAATTCATAAGTCAAAAAGGCGGTTTTCTGCTAAAAAAAAAATTTGACCTACAATCGAAAAAAGTTAAATTAGAAAGCTGTAAAAAAATTTATCGATTGGTATTTTTAAATATATCGATTGTTATATTAGTTTTCGAGATATATCAAAAAAACATATCTTGGTTTATCTCATCGAGCTACCCCAGAATAAGTACAAAAGGATTTTTGTACGTGATGCAGATGTCGAGATAATGAAGATTTTGAAAGTAACAACGCTTTTGAACGCTCAAATTCATTTTTCGGAGCGGCCGAGTAGCGTTACCCCCACTCCGCCGCCCGCTACAGCTAGCTCGCGCCGCTCTCGAATGCCTCGGTTTAACGCACAATTAAAAATGCAGAAGTGGCTAAAATGAACCACAGTATTTTTTTATTGAAAATATAAGACTTCAACTTCAATCTCTGTAAGAATGGATGCTGTAGCACGGCCTGTTGAATTTTTTGAAAATAAGAAAAATATCTCGGCAACAGAAGGTCGTAGAGCAACGTTTTTTTTTTTTAAATTTGAATAGAAATGCCAGCAATCGATTTCTGTAATAGACATTATCATGAAATGAAAATCGAAAAAGATATTCAAGAAAAACGCGACTAAAGAATTTTTACTTTTTTCAGTCATTTTTGCACACTTGAAATGAATAAAATCGTTGTACTCTTTGTTACTATGAAAGTACAACTCTTATGAAAAAAAATGAGTACGGATTCGTTTCTCTACGACTATTCGTCGAGCAAGAAGAGCCGATTTTCGAGACGACTTTTTTTTTCGAAAAATCGGTATCTCGAAAATTTTTTAATATTTTTTAATTTTAAAAAGGCACTTTTTTTTTGCCCGATGAGGGCTACATTTACAGCAAGTAACAAGTTTCAAAACCTTAATTTGCAAGAGATACAGCAAAAAGTCGATTTTTTACGGTTTTTTCGATATATCTTGAAAAGTAATATAGCAATCCATATATTCAAAAATATGAATCAATAGGTTTTTCTAATAGCTACAACTTTCCCATTTAACTTTTTTCAATTGGAGTTCAAGTTTTATTTTCATTATCAAAAAACCGTTTTTTTGACTTTTATGAATTTTTTAGGTTAACTTCGCCGTTTATGCGTGACAGGAAAAATACACTCTTTCTTAGAATTTTTTTTCCTATATCACCATATTTTTTGTTTCTAGGTGGTAATTTTTGTAAGCTCTTCTTCCTATTGATTGAACTATTTAGGATATTTCATAAAAAGCCAAATGTAGAAAAAATTTATTAAGAACATGTTTATAAGACTATATCAACATTATCAACTAACAAATCAGATACTTGATATCGATTTGATTTATGGTGAAAATTGAACTTGCAAACACATTACTTTTATTCTATCTTTAGTAGTTTCTTATATATCCTGATGTCCCATAGAACTTAACTCACTCTGTACAGTATATACCGTACATAAAATTTTGTTGTTTTTTAAATTTAGGACAAACAATGAATCTGCAACAGCAGTATATTGAAAAAACCGTTACCATAACGGAATAAATGAATTTTTAACTAAAAGATGTAGTTGCTCTTCAAAAAGAAGCCTTTACATCTAAGAGAATGGAAAGAGAAACAGAGGCTACCAGATAAGGGAAAGGAGCAGGGCCGTGTTAAATGAATAAAGTTTGGCTAAGGGACTTACTGAAAACATGTGCGTATTATTGCTAAGAGTCATATGGTGGCGAAATCCATAGGGAGCTACACATTGTTCGCAGGGGTTGCGCAACCTAGAGTAGCCAACAAAAAACTTTAAAAAGGACTTCACTACATTCGTTCTTTTGCTCTTTCGGGAACACATAGAGGCCTAGAGTATCGCAGCAGAAGCAAGTTGTAACTTTAGGAAATTAGACATCAATAAAAAAAAATGTTAAAACAACACTTTTGTCGGTACATAATTTTTTCAAAAACAATCTTTTTTGCAATGTCATTTGTCAGAATAAATGTATTTCAATGGTATCTGTCAAAATAAAAGGTATTACAATGTCATCTGTCAAGACGAATGTTTCAAACAACTAAATTTTATCCTAAGATACAGAAGCGGACAAACAGTTTAAAAAATTATGTTTGAGAACTGATTGGACAGTAATAAATAAAATATATCTGTTTTGTAAAAACCCTATTCTTGCTTCTGCCACTAAAAAAACTATTATAAAATCAATACACACTCAAAATAGAAAATTTCTATATAAAATTAGTAATACTCACTTCTCTGGGAGCGTGTTCACATACGGCATAACAACCTTATCGACAAAACTGCCGAAACCCAGCTTGAAATTTGGTGTAAGTTTTTTCATCGTAGAAGCCAGCTGGTCACCGAGGGTGTATAGGTTATCCTTATCATCCTTCATGGAATTACTAAGGTCCATAAGATAATAGAGATCGACAGGGTAGCCTTTGGCATGGGAGTAATACATGCTGACGCTGTATGTTTCTCCTAACGTAGAAAGAAATCAATCAAAAATTTAGAACTATAAAGTTCCAAAACAGAACAATGAGATTTTAGATAAAAAAAAAAATAAATGCTACAATTCTAAAATAAAAAAACTATTACCTATTGCGCCTAAATAACAGTCAAAGCTTTTTAAGAAACTATTTCTACCTAACCAAAAATCTCAGTATACAGACAGAAAATACTTGAAGAAAAAATGTCTTTTATAACTAACCACTCAACATTTAACTGAGGTTTCTGGCATATGGGTTTAATTAATTTAATCCAAATATAAATGCTCTGAATAATAATAAAACCTTACAAATTTTTTTTTTGTTTTTCATTCTAAAAGTTCCACTAATTTTCTTATTAGTACTCATTAACGCATTTCTAATACAAATTTGATTTAATTGACATCAAACAAACATATACCTAACATATAATTAAATTTTCTTGACAAAAAGTAGGCTTCAACCTAGAAATTTTCATAGTAAAAAAAATTTACTTATTTAGTTTACAACATTATCTAGATAATTAAATCGATTAGCCTTATGAAATACATTAAAAAGGAAATGTTAAATTTGTAATGTGCAGTCAATTTAACTTGACTTGCAAAATTCATTTGAGTAACACTGAATATGTGGGCTCGTAACACACCCCTAAATCTATAAAATGTTTACAGCAGTGGTCATGGTTACCGCCATACAGCAGTGAAAGACGGAGTGGGAATAGCGCATATTAATTATGCAGTTTGGGCCGTAACCGAATAATAGCTAATTATCACTTTTTTTTATTAAATGTAATTTGTTTATGTGTGGTATAAAATTTGTTACCTATGTATCGTTTCTTGTTTGTTTTCTAAAAGGTTGTAACAGTTTAAATTAGATTATAGAGACTAACAGCACTGCTATGTATTGAAAAGTCAATGGTGCGAGAAATATCAAGCTGTAATGAAAAAGTAATTGAAAAATTTATTTTGGACAAAAGCACTTTCATTACAAAAAATAATAAAACCCAAAGTATGATAGCGAAAACCAATGTTTTCGGGCAAATAACGTTGGAAACCTTAATATTGAAAAAATACTCACTTGCCCTTAGTTTCAAACTCAGTCTTTGTGGGGCCACCTGGACGATTCTCCCATGCCCGGCAGCTTTGCCACTGAACCCGCTGCTTCCATTAATGCTGCCCTTCCCCGACCAAGTTTCATTATACTCGAAACTACCTGTTCCTACACCCACCATAGACCCACCGCCGCCGGAGACAGATTGCGCCCTTGTAAGGGCCAAGTTTTCTATGACCCTGAGGATGTTGTCCGGGTTCAGGACAAACTTCTCTCGACAGAGCTTGTTGGATATGATGCCGGCGGCCGGCTGGAAGCACCTGGCGCTTCCTTTGTATTCCTGGAAATTCCAACCATTTAAGAGGACACAAATAAGAGTATAGGGAGTATTACAAAAAGTGAGGAAATCTGAAAGCAGTTTCTGACAATGGCACTTCCAAATTTAAAAGACTTACCGGGTCGGTGCACCAAGCACAGCTCGGCGTCTGGATGCACTCATGGCACTTTAATTTCGTCGTACAAGGGTTCTGTGATGTGTATCTTTGGGGAATCTGTGCTATCACAATGGTGCTTATCACACTTAAAATTAGGCAGTTACTTAAAATATGGTTTACGGAAGGCACCTCCATTGTCCTGAAAACAAAAGAAATGTCAGATTTTGAGATTCAGTGAAATAAACGTCTTAACTTCTTAAACAATTTCTGATAATCACAGTATAACTAATACCTAATACATATCAGTAATACTTTCTTATAAGTAGATTTTAAGGAGTCAAGGAATTGTGACCTTGAGTGTGTCAGTCATATTGAAAAGGAGTAGATTTTTCTCTGTTCTATGGATCTGTGAGGACGGAGGGATTGTTACACTTCTTTGATTTGTACTTTAGTAAAATAGTTGTAATTACTATTTTATTTTAAACAAAATTGAAAAATACCTACATCATTAATAGATAATACAAAAGTTATTAAATATATTCATAACGAATGCACAAACAGAAAAGAGAGATGTAAACAGACACCGCCATATTTTCAGGAAGGAAATTGGGGGCGTGTGTACAAAATTGTTATCAGTAAGTTCTCCAGCACCGCTTCCCAAAATGGAAACACCGCTTTGAAAAGTATGCGAATAAAGGAGAGGAGTACTTTCAAGAAGTCAAGAATCAATAATATATAAAATTAATACAGTTTAAAAAATAAAATTCGATTATTTTCTGAGCAGACCTCGTACAATGGGGAAATGATTATGTTGTCTAAGCAAGGGAAGAGTGTTATCTACTGCAATATTGTTCTTTCCCTGCTGCTGTAACCTTAGAATATAATTTCTAAGGCTGCAACACTGGTCTCTACACAAGAAATAGGTCAAGATTATAAATTACCTGTCACTGATATAGGTTATGTTACTACTTACTACAACAATATATGTACAGAGAGATCCAGAATGATTGAAGTGTTAGGAGATTACAGCCTGTGCCTGTCTCTGTCAATACTACAGATTTTTTTATATGCTAAAGATGGTGTTAGAAACAGGCTCTGTTCCCCAAACGCTTCAATCATTCTGGATCTCTTGGTATTATTATATAGTTCCCTATTTTAATTTTTTTTATAGATTTTGAGCTAACTCAAATAGATTTTAAATTGTTAAAATTAAGTTTAAATTTTAAGAAAAATTTTTGAATTTGTCTGAGCTTAATAATTAAAAAAAAAGTGAAAATTATGCTATGGCATATATCAGCAGCAATAATAAGTACAGCACATTAAATTTAACAAAATACTCATGTAAAATATTTAAGTACCTATTGTAATTGTTTAAAAAATGATGAACTTTTATATCAGAAAAACCGAGTTTTTAACCTCACATTTAACTGAAAATATTTGTTTTTTCGACAAACCACAAACAAAGTTAGCTTGAAAAGAAAAAAAAAACAAAGTTGGCCGATTAAATTGAAAATTGACAATCTGTCATATCTTTTAGTTCTCAATAACTTTGTTAAGTAAATATTTTTGATATTTTTAGAAACAAAGGTACTTTACTGTTGACAATTTTTGAAAATTCATCGTAAAACACCATGTCTATTAATTAATTGAATTAATTTTTTCAACTTCCTAGTTTAATTACAAGCAGAGATGATACTCGGAAGCTCAAATTTCAACTCGAAAATTTTTTGTCATTTACACCCCACGTGCACTCAATTCGTGGACATACTGTATATAAAACTTAAATAAACCACTGTCAATTCAAAAGTATTTTACCACAAATGTCTTACTAGTTAAAATTTCACTTACAATTAGATTAAAATTTAGATGTTGCTACAAAACCAAAACGATGCAAAGAAAAACATTTTAACTGAAAATAAAGTAGGTACCTATATCTAACTTATGCTCCTTTATATCAATATTTTAATCATTTCTCAGTCTCGTGTTGATAAATTATTATTTACATTGTTAATATCTAGTGAGAAGTATAATGCATTATTTTCTTTATAAATTCAGTAGGTATACAGGGTGTCCCAGAATATGTACAGGTGACATTAAAATAACATGACAAGTTCGTATAAAAATTTTCCCTACACGATCCCCTATGGAGATACATGCCCCTAAGGGACGACCCTGAAAAAAAAATGTTTTTAATAACTTTTTAAATACTTTTTGTAATTTGATTATTTTTAGTAAACAAGTGTAAATAAAAATTGCATTTTTTTTAGATAAAAGAAATCAAATTTCATCAGTTTAATTCTCTTTTCTTCTTCTTTAATACTTTTTGCGGATATAATTCAAATCGTATTTAAAAAGTTTTTTCATGAAAACGGTTCATTTTATCGATATCAAGTGCCTTTTTTAATTCAAGGTTGAAAATTGAAAAATATTATTTTTGCGCCCTTATCGTAACGGGTGTAAAAAAATTTACATTATTGTGCTACAATTAGTCCGTCCCTGGCAAACCTTAAAAGCCAAATTGTTTTCATGGGACAATTTTTAAAAAGTCTTATTTGTTGTCTATCGTATTAAAAAATAATTAAATTACACAAAATATTTTAAGTTATAAAAAAATCGATTTTCAGTGGCGTCTTTCAGGGGTCTCTAGGAAAAATTTTTATAGAGACCTCCTGTATAATAAAAATTACCAAAGTATTAATGTCTCAATTAAACTTAATGAAAATCGAAGTTTGAATGGTTTTCATGTCTCAAATTTATAGACGAAGAATTATTATTAGTTAAAATAAAACTGCATTAGAAAGAACATAATTAAGTATTACCTAGAAAAATCATAAAAATATTTTTTTGCTCCTCGCTTCTCGCTACGACTTTTTTTGGTGATGTGAGTTTTAAAATTCGACCCTCCAGCTGCTACGATTAATTACAATTAAAATTATTTTAAACATGTAGATAGGTAGGTGGTACGATAAATTTTAAAACACAAATTAGTAGATCCACAATAACAAAACAACTGGTAGACATTTACAAAACTTGTTTTTATTGACGAATTTAGCATAAATAAAATTTTACTGCGAAGCTTTAGCTGAATTATGTACAATTTGTTGAATTTTAATTTCCCATGAAGCGGCATTACTAAAAACAAGACGTCTATGTTAATCTCTAACGATTACTAGTTGGTTAACAAACAGAACCTGCTGATTCTAGGGAAGAAAATATAGAAAACATATAAAAACAAAACAATGTAAAAAATATGAAAAAAATATGATACAGATGCTTGGGAGACCAAATTGATATACTGTATAGAGCCAATAGACCAATTTTAATATACTGCAAAAAAGATTTAAATACCTATTTTGTTAATCTTTTATTACTATTATTATTTACTAACACTATTACCACAGACAATATAGCTTATCGCCAATAGCTACTTTGTCTGTGCTATTACTACTACTATTGAGAAATATAAAGTGCTCTATTTTCTTTATAAATCCAGTAGGTACCTATATAATTAAAACTTGCAAAATTATTAAAGATAATGAAAGTCAAGAGCTAAATGGTTATCATGTTATTATTACTTGCAACTTTTTAGAAATGAGGAGATAACAATAAAATTGCATTAAAAATACCACATTATCTTGGAAAAGTTATCAGAAAAATGTGTTTCGAATCACACAGCCCGAGACGAGTTTTTCGGTGAAGTGATAATTAAAACTTATATTTTGAAACGTCACAATATTTTTAAAATATATGTAAGTATGTATATAGAGGTATAAATTTTAAAACAAATATATATGGGGTATTTCCGGGTATTTCATTCCAAATCACTGAGGCCGTGACCGGACCATTTTTAATTTTCCTATTTTTTTGGTAAGTATGTATTATTTAGTACCCACTTAGAGTAGCTTTTCAAATTTTTATTTCAACCCCTCAAGAAATTATGAGCTTTTGGGTAAAAAAAATAAAATATCTGTAACTTGACAAAAACTAGATACCATAAACTATTTGTTCGTTTTGAGTTGTTTTTATAAAAAAAACCATATAAAACTAATAAATTTTTAGTTTTATTCAGTCTTTTTGGTTTAAAAAGTGTTTTTTTTCCTTCTCAAAAAAATCGTCTTTGCATATGCAAATTTATGAGACAGGGTCTAGAGTGGGATCTTATTTTATTCTATTTTTTTTAGAATTTTTTTTTTGTATTTTAATTTTTTACAGATAATTGTACGCTAGTTATGTTTTCAGTCCGCACAATTCGCTTTTTAAAAACAAATGTCGAACTCGACTATAACAAACGTATAGGACACTGAATATACTGACAAAGAGCGAGTGGGTAGCGAGACGTCTAACAAGACCAATACGTACCAACTAACTAACTAGTCGCGCTTGCACATCTTTTATTAGTAAGAGTGGTATTTACATTAATGTTATCTTAATGGCAAACAAATGATTAGAAAGAATGTTTGCTTTTCAATGTATAATGGGAAGTTGGCGACATAATTCCTCCCCCTTAAGATTGAAGTACATCCTCGTCTTCAAGTCGGGGATGTATTAATTTTAGCTCTGTCCCTTTCTTTTCTGTGGAGGTAGATGGCTTCTTATTCTTTCTTGAAGTCATCAGTATCACTAACTTTTTCTTATTTTTAATAATAATGATTACAATTAAAATGAAAATAGAAATTATACATGTAATTATTGCGGCTATGTTAGAGTACAAATGTATAAGGTATAATTTTACAGTTTTTTGAATATCTCTTAGATCTCTGTGTAAATCATCAAAATTATAAATGATTGGTTTTCAGTTCTAATCCTTTTTGAGGATAATTATCGCTGTTAAAACTAGGTACACTTATAGTAAAATTACTTTCCAAAGGATAATATACAACGTTGTTAACTTCTAATTGATCAAAAATGACGATAACTGGTTACAAGACATTTTTGAGAAAGGAGAGGAAGTGCGATCAAAAATTAGTTTGTTAAAAGACTGTATACTGTATCCTCACTCAATGACGATGGTGGACTGTGAAATTAGCGATGTGAATGAAAAAGATGAAGTTTTGATGGAAAACAAACGCTTTCAATTCGGGAGAAGTGTGATTTGTATTCCCGGAATGGTGTTTAGAGGTTCTCATTGTTTGGTTCCTATTTCGAACCTCAGTAATGAAAAAATAAAGTGGAGATGAGGCAGGCTCATTAGTAGAGGAC